TGAGCAGAGGGCTTGGCGTATACGCTCTGCGCTGGCGCCGAGTTTGAATGTGATGCGTGGTGTGGTGGTGCCGGTGGTGGGTGTTGTGGAGGGAGAGGTCGAGGCGAGCCAGGAGCGGAGCATGTTGATTTTTGCCTTTTTCTCGGCTTTGCTGCGGGTGAGGTTTTTTGGTGGTGGTGGTGGCTCCGTGGTTACTTCTGCGTCTGCGTGTATGCTCATCTCTTGCTCGACTTTCCGCGCTCTCGATTTCCTCGCTGTGGGCTCATTGTCAGTGGCATCTGCCACGAGTGCATCCTGCTGTAGCCAATATTGTCCCACTCGCTTGGGATCTACGGCGAAAACCTCATACGGCTTGATAGCCTGGGGATGCGTCTCCCCATGTGTGTTTGGCAAGTGTGCACTTTCTCCCTTGAGCGTTGCGAGCACAGCCCACAACATACCTTCGAGCGTATTCACACGCACAGTCCACTGCTGCACTGCGCTGCCACCGCCGGACCGCCAGCGCTGTCTTTCAATGAGAATGACATCTGGGGCACTGGAGAGGATGGTCCGTTTGATAAGCCGATAGGCAGTCTCTGAAAGAACAGGGAGGGAGTAAGGGTCTACTTCTTCGTCTTCTTCCTCACTTGAAATCTTCGACCTGCCAGCTTTGCCCTTGGACGTGACAATGGGAAACGCCTGTCGTGGGTCCTGCGTGTTTGCTACAAGATCCACCTTTTCCCATCGTACAATTTCCATGGTTGCATCCCACTCCTTCTTCACCCCCTTTGCCCTTTTCTCTTGCATGGACCCGGGATACGAGACCAGGGCTTCACAAAAAGCGAGATTCTTGATGCCCATGTCTATACTCACAATTCGTAGCTTGCTATTCGAATTCGCAGTCTGTTGCGTATCCCCTTTAGCATGAATATTGCGGAACCGGGAGACGGGCAGGTCGCGCAGGAGACGTGAGTGCAGCACTGATTTTGTACCCGATGAGGCAGAGCCAATGCATGTGAGGAGGGTTTGCAGCGCTTTTGCGGTTATGGAGGGAGTTTTGGGCGGCTTGGGAACTTTGGCTGGCATGATTGGGGCCGGAGGGTCATGTATGATCCCAAATATCTGCTTGCGAAGACTGCTTGCCCCTATGGGAGTTGCTGGGATTTGGGGACTACCGGTACGTGTATACAAAATGGTTGTGTGCGAAGCACATCCTGAAAGAATGCTGCTCACCAAGTTTGTAGATGCATCTCACAGTACAAAAAGTCGTCTGTTAGCAGGAGAGCTTGATTAGATCTGAAGTCTTTGATGGCAATTCGAGAAGAAAGTTTGATTGGACAATGGACGTGGTAGGGGAAGGAGGGGGAGAGGGGGGCACATCGCGACCTGGACGCGTCGTGAACCGATACCGGTACGCGACCACGTGAGATGTATCCACATATTAGAATTGTCCGTGAACATGACTGACATCACAAACAAGCATGTTGCACTTTTGTACTGGATCAAGATGCCATCCTTCTCAGAAAACGCCAAACCTACAGTAAAATCTATGGATATCGGGTACACTACACCAAGACGAGGCTGCGGGTTATCGCAAACCCAATCAAACCCCAAACTTTTGTTGGCTATACGAGCCATGCCATTACCCATAAATACTTGTACTTGTAAAATCAAATTCATCTACCTCTCCACAGCATCCTTCACACCGGGTGATGGGTGCTCAGTTTTCAAGAGCAGATGTGGATTCGCCGTTGCCAAACATGCGGAACTGGATGAAGATGGTTGCATCTTCCACCATGGTACCGAGGGATCCAATCAACCAAGGGAGATTTGTGAGGATATACTCCTTCTCTTGCGAGTGGAAGATGATCTGCGCAGATTAGCAAAGGCCGTCTGAGGATCTCTCATGACCGACTTACTCCCGCACCGTACGTGGCATTGCCCAACAAGCTCAACATGAAGAAGAGCAAGGAAAGACCCTCGCAAGATCTTTCGCGTTGGTTCTTGATGATCTGGGGGATTCGCGCTCCCAGATAGCATATCGCGCTCGCATAGCCAAGAATCTCCGCACCCAGCGCAATCTCGCCTGGATCCTCGGTGTTGTGGGTGGGCTGAGGTGCCCACACCCCCGTCTTCCATGCAATCGCCCAAGCAGCTGTTCCGACCAAACAGACACCCATGATGCTGAGGGCATTCTTGATCCATTCTCTCCCGCCCTCCTCGACGTCTGCAATGGTGGGCAGAGAACTGGCCCTGCGTCTACGGCTGGCGACCGAGTCTCGGCGGTGGCTTCCCGGCAGACCAATGTTGCTCGAGTCTCGCCGTCCCAAGAGTGGTGCCTCGACACTATCTGTGCTGCGGGTGGACGTCTTGCGCGAGCGCTTCGAGTTCTTCGTGTTGTAGTAGAGGCATTGCGCGATGAGAACGAGATCAGCGAAGCCTATGGATATCGCATTAGTGCCAAGGCCAGATTCTACATGTGTCTGGTCAGAGGCATACAGAAGTAGACGGCGAGAGCGGTCACAGTCGGTACCAGGCCAGCCCAGAGCGAGCCAGCGAGATTGGTGATGTCGCCCAGGAACCAGACGCAAAGAAAAGTGAGGGAGATGCCATCTGCAGAGCCAGACTTGTAGTTCTCCATCAGTTGGGGCAACTAGAGTGGTCAGTATGCAAGTCTGCTGGCTGTCGCGTGCTTTGCCAATGGGGGCGTGTTGGACGAGTCACTGGACACTTACCAGCAAAAAGACCCAGGCGGCCAGGGAGATGGAGCCAAAGACACCGGACAGGGCCTCATGGGTGGTCAAGGCCGGGATCTGTGACATGATGGCTGCGATGGTGTTTAGGCTGCAGGCTGTGCGACGCAGGAATAAGGGAGAGCAAGCCGGCAGATTGGTAGAGGATGATCCACAGCTTTGCGCAGCGAAACAAAATTCCTCGCCCAAAGGTTATGACGCAGGTCCCAAGGCGGACGTGTTTCCCAGCAAGGGCATGAGTAGCGCCGATGATGCGATGGACGAGGAGACGAGGGCAAGTAGCGAATAGGCGGAGCCAAGTCTAGTGGAGAGGGCAAGAGGAACAAATAGGAGTCGGTGGATTCACAAGCACACGACGTCTGGAGGTAAAAGCAAAGTACTCTACTGTAGAGGGTAGAGGGCATGGCCTATAGAGTACTGTAGCAGTAGGTAGAAGCAAAAAGCAAGCCTACTCTTGGTACACAAAGGATGTGTGTTGTTTGGGTACTCTAGTAGTTTGCAGTCTCTGTGGCCTATTTTTGGTTTTGCGACAGTAGTAGGCTTGCAAGTTGCAACTGTTGTTACCTAGGGTAGAGGATACCTGTTGGGCACAGCACATAGTCTCTACAAGGTGCATGCATGGTGTGCAGATTGCGCATTGTGGGCACATCGCCCGTGTTTCTGTTGAGAAACAGGACTGATTTTTTTTTAATCATCTCTCTCTTGGTGAAGCTCGGTCAGGAAGTTCAGGATGGGAGGGAAAGGGTGGATGTTCAATGGGTCCTACTCTACTATGGGCAATCAGCATCAGCTTGGCATCGGCAGGCTGTATGGGTATGTAACAGTACCAGTACCGTGTGTATTTTTCTTTTTGCCGTTGGATTGGGCATATTGGGGGCCACCCACTGGCACACGCGTGGTACACACTCCCAACACGGTCCAATACAATACAATACATTACATTACATTGGCAACAGTACTCTAGAGTAGGATCGAGAGGGCCCACCTAAGGCTAAATTTGGCCCTTGTCCTGTGCGGCAAGTCTCCTCCTCACTGGCCACCACTTCACCCGGAACCGTCCGTCTCTGCCGCTCCCACCACTGACTGATCTTCCTTCATGCCCGCCGCCCAAGTCTTCAAGGTCACACGCACGCCAAACACTCGTTTTCTATCCTTTCGTACATGGGCTGCTACTATAACTAATCACACAAACATAGAGTACTTGTACTTGTCCTCTCTCCCCGCCCTCTTCCTCTCGTTTTACTCGGTTATTTTCCCTCGCTATACACACAACACCTGCACCCCCATCATACAATACAACCCATACGCCCAAACCATACTCTGCCACTCAC